AAGAAATCTGCTCTAGGGGCCACACAGCCGAGAGACATGAAAAAGAAACCAGGAGTCGTGGTCTTGGAGATTGGTGGCCCAGAAGTGGATGCAGGAATGAGAGTTGCTTGGGAGAGAAGAGATAAAGGGCTCAGGGATAGAGTTCAACACTGGAAAACCGTGGCCAAGAAATCTGAGTGAATGGCTGTCACATTGGTTTTGGAGTCAGGCAGACATGAATTTGAGCACACAGCTTCAACATCTGCATTCTAGGATTAACAACAGTACCGCTTAAATCAGTGGTTCTCAACCTGTGGGTTGTGACCCCTTTGGGGGGTTGAAAGACCCTTTCACAGGGGTTGCCTGATTCATAACAGGATCAAGATTACAGTGATGAAGTAGCAATGAAAATGATTTTATGGTTGGGTGGGGAGGTCACCACAATATGAGGAACTGTCTTAAAGGGTCGCGGCATTAGGAAGGTTGAGAACCACGGACCTAAATGGTTAGTTTTAAATGACTCAAAATTAGTAAAGCTCCTGGCACAGTGCTAGGCACACAGGGTGGGCCTAGTGAATACGCATATCTTTTTCCCTTAGAATGACAGGGATTGGCTAGAATCCTGGCTGTTATCAGGAGTGATTATTTAATATTTATATGATGTCAGCCAGCTGAGTCCACTTTAGCAAATCTTCAGCATAGGCATTCGGAGGCATCTATGTGCCAAATCTGTGCAGGAAGCAGATGAGATGATACAGGGAGTGATCCCAGGGGTTGAAGGCCTATTTCTTTCTGCCAGCTTGTTGGCTTTTGCAGATGGGGTCTATATTGCCTCCAGAGCAGGTGTTCATCTAATTAACTCCCTGGGAATTTTTTTTCTCCACCCCAGATCCACCTCCCAGATGTCATGATTTTGACAACCTCCTAAAAGTCCCAGGGTGGTAGGCTATTGTTTCTTTCATTTTGCAGTAATTGCCACCTATTTGCTTTAGTCTTCAGATCCTTCTGTCTTGAAGGGTGTTGGGAACACTTTGTCCCCAAGTGGGGACAAGACAATTTGGTATGAGGCACAGTTACAGTATTGCGAAGCATTGACTCTCACAGTGAGAAAGTTATTCCCTTTGGAGTACCCCTTTGATCTTTCTGATGAAGCCAAGGAAAACCTCTTTTTGGTGCTAGACTATCTTTAGCGCCTCTCTAACACATCAGTAATATCTTTTCTACCGAAGCAGGTGGCCAGCTTTCAACTCAGGACAGGCAACAGTTAGCTTGTAGGGTGATTCTTTTATTTTTAATCTATTGCTTTGCCCAGGAAAGTGAGATCAGTTTTCTTCTAACAGTAGTAATATGAAGTTTCCTCACTGAAGTAAGAAGTGAATCAATTCAAAGAGAAATAGGTAATTGTCAATGTGGTAGGCGGATACTATACTCAGATGATTGAAGCTTGGAAAATGCTAGAATAATGGGGGAGTCACTCAATTTCGGAAGCTGAAGTCTTGGATATAAATGTTGGCTCTGCTCATTGGCTACTGAGTTAGTTAATTGTGCCAACCTGGCCGATAAACACATGTGGGGCTAATTGAAAGACGGAGGGATAAATGGGTGGTGAGCCTCGCCTTTCTAGTTCTCGGGTCTCTTGCTTTGCGATGATCGCACCAGGGTGCAGCTGCCTTAGCAGCTCCCTGCTTCAGCTCACAAGATTGACTTCCTACAAGACATCCCCAAGGAGAAGCCACATGGACCTATCCCGATGCAGCCCTGGGTGCTGGAGCAGCCCTGTGGAGACCCCTGTTAGTACTGAGATGCTTATTTGTTCACTGACTCAGCTTTCCTCCTGCAGTCGGCATCATTGCCTCTGTTTCGTGAGGTGGAGGACTTTGTGGACTGGTGTTGGGTTAATGGCTTAATGTTGGACTTGCGGGCTTGGGCAGCATTGGGTTGGGATGTTTTCATGATACACACTTTCTTTACATAAAACTCTCTTATACATGAGTTGCTGTGGATTTGTTTCTCTAAAGTACCTAGACTAATACAGCTACCTAACACATTTGCTCTCTTTGAGTCTATTTCTTCATCTCCAAATGAGAATAATAATTAATTCTCACTACATATGGCTATTCTGAGGGTTAAATGAAATGATTTTGTGTCCACACATGCAAACAAATTCCAGAACACTTCATTGTGCTCATGTGGACCTTGGACATGGATTAGGGGCAGTTGTGTTGGAATACTGTGTGGTTTAACAAGGGAATACTGTGTGGTTTAACATCAGAAAAGATGTTCATCAGGGTTATAGCTCTCATCATGATTCAATCTGTATCTAAGCAAACAATAAAAGAATCTGGGTTATAAGAAGAAGAAGGCATGCAGTATTAGGACTGGAGGAAGACTTATAAACAACCTCTGAAAGGCAGATGATCCAATCTTGCTTGCTGAACACGGGAAGGACTTGAAACACGTGCTGATGGAGATCAAGGATTGCAACTAACTGGGAAGCAAACCAAAATCCTCACGACTGACTCAGTAGGGAACATCATGATCAACAGATAAAAGATGAAAGTGGTCCAGGAATTCATCTTGCTTGGAGCCACATAAATGCTCCTAGAAGCAGCAGTCGAGAGATCAAATGACTCATTGCATAGAGTGATTTTAGTGTACAAGCCCTCTTTAAAGTGTTGAGAATTAAGGATGTTACTTTAAGGACTAAGACACCCTAGACCTAAGCCATGGTATTTTCAATTATCTTATATGCATGCAAAAGTTGGACATTGAATAAGGAAGGCTAAAGAAAATTTGATGCATTTGAATTATCATCTCAGAGAGGAATATTGAAAGTACCATGGAGTACCAAAAGAAAAAGCACTTGGAAATGTCTTTTCTGTCTGTCTTGGAAGAAGTATAATCAGAATGTTCCCTAGAAATGAGGCTGGTGATATTTCAACTCATGTGCTTTGGACATGTTAGCTGGAGAGACCTGTCCCTGGAAAAGGCCATCATGTTGGTAAAGTAGAGGGGTAGCGAAAAAGAGGCAGACCCTCAACAAAATGAATTGGCACAGTGGCTACAACAAGGGTTCAAGTATAAGAACAATTGTGAGGATGGCACACTGTCAGGGGCAGTGTTACATGCTGCTTGACACAGGGCTGCTATGAGTGGGAACCAATTTGATGGCACCTAGCAACAACATAGACGTGTGCGTATGTACACATTCCTATATATGCATGTATATATGCAGATACACATAGATGTCTGTGTATAATCTTTTAGTTCCATTTTCCTACAAACTTCATGTGTGTGTATGTGTGTAAATTTGAGAGGCTTTCAAAAGTTCATGGGAAAATGGAATGAAAGATAACGGAATGTTTCCATGAAGTTTTTTAAAGCCCCCTCATACATACATATATACATGGGGACTTCAAAATTTCATGGTATTGTATTCCATTATATTCTCATTCGATTTTCCATAAACTAAAAAAAATGATTTTATTAGCATATGATTCACATATCATACAATTCAATAGTTCAACCGTATTAAGAAGACTTGTGCTATCAGCACCACAATCAATTTTAGAAATTTGCATTATTCTTATAGTCATTGTTTTTAGCTTCCTATTTCCCCCAATTTCCCCCGCATGCCCTTAGGTTATTATTAATACAGTTACTGTCTCTATAGATTTAACTATCCTGGATTTCATATACAGGAAAACACACAAAATACAAACAAGGAAAAAAAATCCCCCACAACAATGGCAAAATAGAACAGAAAACTTCAATCAAAAGAAAAGAAAATATTAAAAACTGGAACAACTTTAAAATGGGTCAAAGGAGATAAAAAAATGAAGTATTACATGTTAGCCTAACTATATCTGCCCCAATTGACTTTACAAAGCTCTCTGTCTGACAGCAAGGCTATTCACATCCCCATGGTCAGTAGGAATTCACCAGAGGCTGAATCCATATGGGAACCCTGCAAACGGACTTTAGGATTCCACTCTCATTCACACACTTCTGGAAACGAGGTGCTCAAAATTTTAAAGCTCTAATACTGTTCCCTGCTCTGGATTTGGATTATATAATTTATAATCCTTGGGTCGCACAGGCTGGGTGCTTCATACTTGTGGACTTAGTTCACGTGTCACTTTCTGGCTGCTTCTTTTAAGACCAGCCTTTAAGACCCCACACACTATTTTTTCTGAGAGCCGGGCACCATCTGATTTTTTCATCACATTTAGCTATCACCCCCATATCTTCAGTGATCTCTTCATGAGGGCCCACACACTTTTTGAAGCCCCTTTGTGTATATATTTTTGTGTTTGAATGTATATGTGTATATATACGTGCATGTACATGTATGTAGAGTCCTGGTGGTAGTTATGCATTGAGCTGTGACCCTCAGGGTGCACAGTTTGAAACCACCAGCAGCAGCTTGAGAGAAAGACTGAGCTTTCTACCCTCTGTGAACAGTCTCAGAAACTCCCAGGGGGTTGCTGTGAATCACCATTGGGCAGTGAGTTTGGAGTTTGGTATATGTATGTATATAAACACATACATATACACGCATGCACACATACACACACATACACACACACTGTCTGAATTGTACGCACACATAGATGCACTTAGTTTACAATGTGCTAGTCTTTTACCAATAGAAAGATGAGGCTGTTTTTTTGTTTGTTTCTGTGTAATATTTTTACATGTATTTATTTAAACTTCACAACTCAGTTGAATACTATTAGCATGTTCCATTTCATAGATGAGGATAGGGTCATTTAAAAGTTAGGTGATTTGTCCAAGACTTCAGGGCTACTAAGAGCCAGAACCAGCTTTTAAACAGCCAGCTTCCAGGAAGAGCATGCTGACTTAGACCCTTGCTGGATTTAAGGGTTAAAGAAGGGCCCTCTTAATGATACAACGGGTCTGAGCAACCTTCCAAAAGAGAGCTGTCCCAATTCAATGGCAGGGGAGGGAGTTTGTCTTGGAAATACCCAGAAGAAACAAAACACCCCCAGCACATTTGGTTACAACAAGGCAAAACCTTTAATAACATGAGTGCTTATTACATCAGCTGCTTTAGGGTTCTGACATCTGGTCATGTTTTTCTAACATGTAAAGATGAATGCCTCCCTCAGGGTGACCTGGGTGGTTGCTTTCCTGAGGATTTATGTGGGTGAATAATGGGACAACCATGACTTCTCTGATGGGGACTCAGGAATTCCCCCTGGACGCCACCCATGACTTTTAGTAAAGTCCTCTTCCAAGGAAGGAAGCAGCATGAGAGACTCCCCCCCTACTCCCAGTCATGAAGGAAGAAAAGAAAACATGGCAGAAATACACCGAGAGAGAAATGACATCATGGGCTTGGCTGGAAAAGTTAGCAATGGAAGGGCTGGGGCTTCGAGAGTAGGGGACGCACAGTGGGCAAGGGTTGAATCCATTTGGTTTTATTCTTTAAAAAAAGTAATACCATCACTAGGACCATGCCATGCAACCTTAGAGACATCTCTGTACATTTCCCCCAAGGTTGTGCTGGGCACAGGGCAGAGCTCAGAAGTCAGTTCAGACCGGTGTGGTGCGCCTGTTGGCTGGATTATTATGCAGCGACTCCTTGTACTCTTTGGGAGTGGAGTTGTGGAACTGTAGAAAAGTGTGGTCCCTGTCAGAGTTGAGGAGGGTCCCCATGGTGATCTTGGAGGGATCCCGGGAGAGGGTGAACATTGAGATGTCGGTGGAAGGGATGGTATGGAAGCCTTTGCTGATGGGGGACAGGTCTCGGGACCTAGGTTCTGTGGAGCGGGAACTGGACCGCCTTCGGAATCTATACCTATAGGGTGGAAGGCGGGTAAAAGTAGATTTCTTCAGGAGCTCCGAATGGGATTTGGCACGTAACTGCTGATGTTTCTCGATATAGATGTGCACAGCCACCACGCCGACAATCTCCGCGATGATGAAAGAGAACGCTCCAAAATAAAAGGACCAGCCATAGGAGTAACTTTTTTTGGAATCACGCTGCCCGGGGTCTCCAGCATTTGCTGATATATAAACTATGATGCCGATGATGTTGCTTAACCCTAAGAGAAGAGAAAAGGAAAAAAAAACATAACTGTTTATAAGCCTCAGAGGTAAATACCACTTTCAGTCTTGAAACATTTCTAGCACACGTGAGGAAGTGGGGAGAGAGGAGAATGGATTATGCTGGGAAACCCGGCTGCAGGGTTCTTCCTGCATGGTTTGCATTTTGAGAAATGAACAATTCTGCTATTTAGTCCCAGGCAGCGTGCACACGGCGAGAGAATACATCCTTCTTTAACAGTAACTGTGGCCAGAATTCAGAATACATTTACTTTTCTTTTATAAGCAATGTAGTCTAACAACCCTTAATCTTCAGCTCCAAGTCTTGAGAATAGTAAAATGAACAAGTTATAGGGCCCTGACTTTGCATCCTTTCCATTGTTATGAGAACCTGGCGTGTAAATTAGTGCAAGTACAGCACCGTGCAGAGTGGACTCTACTGGAGACACAGGCAAAATGGGGCAAACGGGGAAGGAAAGACTAAGGACCCTGGATTTGTAGAGGAGAAGACGTTTCAGTGGGGCCCTGAAAAGTGAGTGGGGGATCAAAGAGATGAAAGACTCCTGGCTATGAAATGTGAGAGACGGGGTGAAGTATTATTAGGGTTGAAGCTTGAATGGTTGGCAGTTAGGAGGCATCTTAAAATAAAATATGAGAGGCAGCAGAGAGACAGGGGTAGAGAAAATTAGATACTTGGATACAATGAGTTTGAAGTGCTTGGTTGGGTCTAGAACTGAAGTTTGAGGCACTAATGAGCTCATGGAAAAGGGAGAGTGGCTTATTATGTTTTTTTTTAAAAATCTGCACAGGATAAGAATGCTTTAAATCAGCGGTTGTTTCAGAATTAGGATTTGGAGAACACAGAGCTACCGTCCATAATGGGTAAGGGCTGCATACTTCGCTTTCTCAAGTCTACAGACTAGAATTGGAAATAGCTGCTCAGACTACTGGAGATAAATGGTTTCCCAAGGGATGGAATGAAAAAAATTATAGCATCCAAGAGGGTGTGCTCACCTCTGGACACTTCTCACATTATTGCTTCAAAGGGAAATGTCATTTTGAAACCTTTTGCTTCAAGGCCCTCTACCAGAGCATTTAGCCAACATTGATTGCTGGAGATTAATATACCAGATGCCATTTCCCTATCTCCAAATTTAACCTGCCTGTTTTGTTTGTTTGGCGCCATCTAGTCAGTTTTGACTCACAGCAATCCCTTGAACGACAGGATAAAGCACTGCCTGGTCCCGCGTCCCCCTCGTATCATTGCTATGTTTGAGCTCCTTGTTGTAGCCACTGTGTCAATCCCTTTTGTTGAAGGTCTTCCTCTCCCCCCTCCCCCACCCCACTGACCCTCTGCTCTACTAAGCATGTTGTCTTTATTCAGTGGCTGGTAATATGTCCAAAATATGTGAGATAAAATCTCCCCATCCTCACTTCCTAAGGAGTTTTCGGCTGTACTCCTTCCAAGACAGATTTATCTGTTCCTCTGGCTGTCCATGGTGTGTTTACTATTCTTTGCCAATACCATGTGTGGTAGTGACATAATTTCATGTCAACTTGATACGTAAAAGTGTAGGGGTGGAGTCTAGCCTGTTAGGTAGTTCACAGCCAGTTGGTGCCTCCTTGTGGGCGTGGCCTTCTCATAAAGAGGCCCCTGACAACTTGCCTTTCTCTCTCTGCCTTCACCTTCCTGGGGGTGAGCCATTCTGAGACCTGCCAGAGCCCTGTGAATGAACTGCCATTGGAGCCACATGACCTTGAACCCACCAGCCATTGATCTTCCTGCATTCTGCATCATTGCATGTGGGTGTGTGAATTTGAAGAGGGACTTAAGGACTAGTATCGGACTTATGGACATGAGATGGGTTGGACTGGGATATTCTCTTGTTATGCAATTACTTCTAGATATAAAGCGCTTATCTAGAGTGCCTCTGGATTTGTTTCTCTAGTCAACCAGGCCTAACACTTCATGATTTGAAGGCATCAATTTATCTCCAGTATTGCTTGTTCATTGATCAACTTTCGCCTATATATAAGGTAGTTGAAACTAGTTTAGGTCAGATATACCTTTGCCCTCGAATGGCATCTTTGCTTTTAAACACATTAAAGATGTCTGGTACAGTGGGTTTGCCCAAAGCAATATTACAGTGCTATTCATGAGACCTTCACTGGCCAATTTTTTTAAGGAATACATTGGCCTTCTTCCTAGTTTGCTTTGATCTGGAAACTCTGCTGAAACCAGTCCACCACGGGTGACCACGCCGTTATTTGTAATGCAAGTAGCATAGCTTCCATCACCACAGAAATATGCAAGCCACCACAGTACAACAAATTGACCGAGGGCTATCTATAGGGTGGCACTAAATGAGGGCTGCTGCTCTCAACACGTCCCCAAACCAATTGATAAATAACTATTTCCTGGAGTCTTCTGAGTCTACTTTGTATTCTCTTTGCATTGTAGTCTTTTCCTGGAGGTCCTAAAGATCTCCCCATAGTCCAGCCACTTGGGATGACAGGGACCCCAGGATTCTGTTCCTGTACTGCCGTTCTCATTGGCTGGTGTGTGTGCATCCTTATTGTTGTTTGGGTGCCCTCAAGTAGAGTCTGATGCAAAGGATTCTGGCTCATAGTCACTCCATGTAACAAAGTAAAATTGCCCCCACAGAGTTCTCATGGGTGGAATCTTTAGAGAAGGAGTTAGTTAGGCCCTTTCTACTGTAGAACTGCTGGGTGGGTTTTAACTACCAATCTTTCTGTTAGTACCTCCACCGCTCCATACACATGCATTAAGAGTTTCTAATCTCAGACCAGAGCATGCACACTGCTATAGATAGGAGCTTGCAATACAGGGAATCCAGGATAGAGAAACGCCTCAGGGCCAGCAAGGAGAGGAGAGATACCAGGAGGATTAGGGGAGGTTGCAGAGAGAAAGGGAGGTTTGATCACAAGTATCAATCTATAACCCCCTCCAGTGGGACAAATAACAGAAAGTGGGTGAGGGGCGACAGAAGACGATGTAAGATATGAAAATAATAATCTATAACTTATCAAGGGTTTGCGAGGGAGGGAAGGAAGGCAGGGGACGGAGGGGGGAGAAATGGG